TAACCCCAGCCGCGGCGGCGGCGGCGGCACCTGTTCCCATTAACCCGCCCGCGCCCCGCAAGTTCCCCGTCGCGGCGCCCTCCCCGCCCCACCACGCGAGCTTTCAAGGCTGGCGGCGGGCGGAGCCCCATCGCGCTGCCGGCCGGTGCGGACTGACTGACTGACGGGCTGGCCAAGTCCCCGGCTCACTCACCGGGGCGCTCGCGCGTTGCTCCGTCGTCGTGGCTTCCACCGCCGCCGCCGTTTGACTCCGTGGGGCCCACCCAGGGTAGGCGAAGGCCCCAGCCGGGCTCAGATCCGGCGGCTGGAACGCCCCGGGGCGCCCGAGACCCGGGCTCCACGCTGCTGCGTCAGCAGCAGCAGCAGCAGCAGCAGCAACAGCAGCGCCGCTGCCTCCTCCTCCTCCTCTCCTCCTCCTCCTCCGCGTCGCCGCCCGGCTACAGGATGGGGACAGGAGGCGCGCCCCCTTCTGGGGCCCGCGCGCGCAAGGCCGGAGGGGGGCGGTGGCGGCCGCTCGGCCGCGGGGAAAGGCTCCTGCCCTGCGCCGCTGTGCCCTCACCTCCCTTGCTCCGTCGTCCTCGCCTCCTCCTCCTCCAATACCGCCGCTCTGCTCTAACTCCCCCGAAAGCGGCAGCGGCAGCATCGAGCCCCAGCTCCGCTCCGTCCTCCCTTCCTGCTTCCTCGTCGGCGGCCAATCATGGCGCTCTCCTCGGCTGTCCGCTCTGAGGCGCCCGCCAATCAAACGGCACCTTGCCCGCCCCCGCTAACCAATCCTCCACACCAGCCACCAGGTCCCAGCACAGGCAGACGGCTCCCTGCGGACACGGACACGGCCGCCCAGCGCGGGGGAGGGGCGTCCCCACGCGAGTGGCGGCGGCGGCAGCGGCGGCAGAAGCAGCCGCAGCTGCAGCCGCCTCTGCGCCGGCCCCGCCCCCTCCCCCGCCTAACCTGTCTTTCCGCAGCCCCGCTGAGCGCCCCCCAGTCAGTCCCCATCTGCTTCTCCCGCCCTCCTTGGACCTTGAGTGGGGGAGAGATGCTGCCTTTGCACCCCACCCCTTCTTCCAAATTGAAGCTCTTGCGCCGACTCTTGCGCCCCCCGTCCCCTTCCCCTTCCCAGCTCCAACCCCGCGTTAAAGCATCTGCTCCGAGGAAGTTTTTTTTTCGGGTCGTGTTTTTTAGCCGCTGCTTCTGGCCCCCCTCCCGCCTTCGGTCCCCTCTGGCCTTCCTTGCTTCTGTAGTCCTTCGACTGCGCAACGGGGTTAGGGGATCCCCCGGGTGAGTTTTTCTTTCTTTCAGGGAGAGTTCGCCTTTCCACGTAGCGTCCACTACTTGGGGCATCGGCTCCAGTTCCCATCGCCTTCCGACGGTTTGCGACCCCCGGGTGCGAATCTTTGGGATGGCTAGCTAAGCTTGCCCCCCTTGCTACAGGTGGAAATAATGTCGGCGGCTACTCAACCTGACTTCCACGTTTTGACAATGTAGTCACTGCTGGTACTGAGTTTTCCAGGCCAGAACCACTTCGCCTTCATCACCATCCTCTCCCAAAATGTTGCTCTTCTTTGAAAGGAGTGGGAGTGGGAGTGGGGGAAACTATCTTTCCAGGCAGCCTTCCTTTCTTTGGCCTTTCTCTGACGAGGATTTTTGCCCTTCTCTGGAAACTACCTAGTTGCTACTTAAACATTGCAAGATTAAGCCTTATTGTAAAATGTGAAGCTGTAGTCCTGATTGTTCTACAAATCCTGCGTTTCACACACCCACACCCACACCCACAGAAGATAGAGAACTTCCATGTGACAAAATATTTCTTTCTGCATTTTACTGATCATGTACTGCTTTCTTCTATCGAGGTTTATTCTTGTTCCTTCGATTTCTGGGGATGGGACACCGGAATTATGTGCTCATGGCTGCATGATTCAGTTTGGGGCCTTAAGGTTCCCTGTAGTGGCGTATTGTACTATAGAACCGTCTCTTGCAGGCTGTGGGATACTGTAAATGGTTTGCAAATCACAACCTTACTGTAAGGTGTTTGTTGAAATTTCATTCGGGTCAATTTGAAACACACTGTTCCTTTATGTTCTTGCAAGCCCTCTACTTCAATCCTAATATATTAGGTCAGCTGAATGAAGCTGCAAATGTGATGTACCAAATCTGTATTGTGATATGACTTAGCCTCCAGGCACTCAGCCTATGTAGTTTAAAAGTGTTGTGCTATAAGTAGTCTGAAGTTCTCATGCCCAATGGGGTGATCTGATGAATAGCAAAGTAGATATGATATTCCCGGTGGGAATAGTTAGAAAAATAACAGACACAACACCCAGTGAAGTTTTATCCCCACTGCCTGGTGTTCTCCAGCTGCGTCAGGCCCATCTTCACTCCCTGCCTGACAAAAGAAACACTAGAAGATGGGAATTGCAGTAAAAAAAAAAAGTGACTATTTTTCAGTGAACTACCATAAATCCTTGTTGCCTGTTATAACTCAGTGTCCTGTGAAAGACTTAGATTGGTCTGGTATTTATAGGAAAGTCCCTATCTGTGAGAGCTGCTCTTTTGTCTTTTTTGATGGGGAGTGCCAATGTAGATATCAATAGCTATGTCTATGGAAATTCTCAGTCATCCAGGTAATGGTTGTCCAAAGGTGCTCTTTCAAAAGGCAACTGGACTTCGTTTTTCCTCGAAGACATTTTGCTTTTCATCCAAGAAGTGAACTAAAGAAGCTTCTTGGATGAGAAGCAAAAAAGTATTCAAGGAAAAACGAAGTCCAGTTGCATTTTGAAAAACTATCTTTGGGATATCAATAGCTCTGCCAACACACACATTGCAGTACAATGATAACCAAACATCATTAATAATGTTAACATAAATAACATAGCTTGACTTCAATTTAAAGAACACATCACAGAAAGAATTGGAAAAATCACAATTTTGCCATCATTGGTAGGAATTATCTGTATTACTGATAGTTCTGACACAACATAAAAGATAATATTTGAGTAGTTGGAGTTGGGAAGCATCAATTAAATTAATGAATATATATATATATGAATATATATATATGTGTGTGTGTGTGTGTGTGTTTGGGATCTTCTTCATTGCAGTTGCTAGGTTCACGTATTTTAGTAAGTCATTTAATCTGCCTGTTTGAGGCTTAGTATGTTTTGTGAAGCCAGCCGATTGTAGCAGTTTGGCAGTTCGATTCTCACTAGTTCAAGGTTGACTCAGCCATCTATCCTTCTGAGGTCGGTAAAATGATGATTCAGATTGTTGGGGGCAATATGCTGACTCTGTAACTGCTTAGTAAAGCACTGTGAAGCAGTACATAAGTCTAAGTGTTAATGCTATTGCTATTGTTTAGTAAACCACAGTTAAATAAACCATGCCTAATAGAAAAGAATATTTGTAGCTCAGGATTGAATTGTGGGGTCCTTGGTGCTCTCTGAGAACTTGGTTGTTTTCTTACACGTTTCATTATACAACTTTACTCAAGTAAGTAACCATTTCAGTGATAACCATGGTACTAATCAATGTTAACTATGTTAACAGAGTAAATGTTTTTTCCCCGTGTTGCCCATATATCATTACGTGTTTGTTCAGCACTTGATTTAATAGAAAGCAATTCCCATGGTGGTTCTTTAGGACACAAAATGTTTCCTTCCAATACAGAATAAATCTTTCACTTTACATCTTAGGGATTTCTAAAAATTATTATCAAAATGTAATATAACAGTATATTACTATACTATTTATAACCAGACCTAATTCTGAGACACCCTGGCGATGAATCATATTAATTATGTTTACATTCAACATACTATAAATGAAATAAAATTTAGTTTTTGGTCTGGCCTGGCCTGATCCATTATTTTTTAAGTGTCCTTGGCATCCCATTCAAAGGTCAAATGTAACTCTCAGTCCAGAAAAATGATGCATCTTCTATTTGGTTTTGCAAAGTCATTAATAGGAGCAATCTAGATCTGAAAGACAAAATGTGATTGTGACCATGCTTGTAACACTTGCCTGGAACAACCTAAACCCAAGGAATTTTTTCTGGGACCATGCAGCAGCTGGAGAAGATAGCTGGGTGGGCCCAGGAGAAGATGTAGGTGTTTTAAGTATTTCTGGCAGGATCATTCATGACGTATCTGTGGATCTGGACCACTGCCCTGCCCTAGTGAATTGTCTCATGATAAAGTATTTACAACCTAAGTATTTCATCCAGGATAGATTGTTGTTTTTAGCTTCTCAGATGTCATAGAGTAACATTATTACTGCCACCTCTTAGATGTTAGAAAAACCAGCTGTGTAAAGTTTGTGTCAATAATTCAAATTCAGCTTAATTTTCACTAAACAATCTGTTCCCAATTAGAAAACAGTACTTTACAGGCCTCTGTAGGGGTTTCTGTTCCTTTCTGTTATAAATTATTCTAATCAAAGGTGTTTTAAAGCATGATAGGTCATTTGTCCGTGAAGATAATAATTCATCCAAAGTGAATGATCTTGAGCCCATACCTAAAGCAATGTGGCTTCAAATTTTCCCGCATAAAAAGTGAGATAAGTCTTGGCATGAAAAGTTGGAAGAGTTTTTCCTCTATACTATTTTCTTTCTGGAAAAAAATATTCCTAAATTGCAGCACAAACTGACATCTTAAAATGAAGCAGCTATTGCTGCTGGATTCTTGAAAAATGATAAAAATAATTTGCAGGGCACTTTCACTTAGGTACATCATTCCCCCTCTTCTGTCATTCTCCCATTTGCTGGCCAAAGTAGATTTTTGAAATTGTAATCTGTTCAACTAATAAGCATGCAAGAACTTTGAACAACAAAAAGAGAAAGTAGTTTTGTTCTCTATTGATGATCCACATTTCACATTAAACCATGCTGTATCTTATTCATGGATTTTTCATAAAACCCACAGTCGACTGGATATACAATACTGCAGTAAACCAGTTTGGTATAGTCTAGAGGTAAAGGCATCAGGCTAGAAATCAGTCGATTGTGAGTTCTAGCCCCATCTGAGACATGAAAGTCAGCTCGGTGACTTTGGGCCAGTCATTCTCAGTTCAACCCACTTGACAGGGTTGTTGTTCTAGGAAAAACAGGACGAGGAATTAGTAATGTGTATGTTTTTCACCTTGAGTTACTTTAAAAATAATAAAGGGATGAAAATCATAATATCTAATTTGCAGAGGAATTAAGATGTGCACATCTCACTGAATATCTCAAAATGTATCATGTTTTTATTTTCTCTCTCTCTTTTTCTCTTTCTCTTTCTCGAATGTTGATCTTGTAGAATAAGGTCAGTAGCTTTTCATTTTGTATTTTATTATGTTGATTTTTACATTTTATTGACATATCAATTTCCACTGACCAAGACTTAATCTAAGTGGCTATTTTAATCATTTTACATATTTTTAGCTAAGCCTCAAAAGAAGCAGGCAACAACAATAAAAAAAATACCAACAAGATAAAGATTTAGAGCAAAAAAAAAAAAAATCTAAGAAACAAAGGAAGAGCCCTGAGTGGCAGATGATCTCCAGAGACTCAAGCAACTTAAGATAGGGGCTTTATTGCAGCCTAAAGCTTTGATAAGTGACCCACAACCTTTAAACTATCTCTCAGTAATAATTATACCATGTTGGATTGGGAAAGTGAAGAACTGCTTGATCTATTTTAGAGGATGGGCTGGAAATAGGGATGGAAAGGGCTGTCACAGCCCGTATACCCTTCTGAGCAACAGAGATGAATTTGGTGGCTAAACATTGCTTATTGATCAATCAAACAGTTATTTTAATTTCTGATCAAAATAACACCTGGTTCACACATCATACTAAGCAAAACCTGAGTAAACATATTATCACAATGTGAAAATCCAGCCAGATAGAAATAATTCAGAAGTACTAAGTGTTAAAAAATGCCAATTGATTTTTAAAAGGTTATTTCTAAAGAGATACTTCCAGTTGTCCAACAGATTATCCGGTTGCCACCGACAGAACAGCATTGGCTCCTATGCTTTGAACAGAAAACAAACATTAATATAAAAAATTGAATTCAATGTAACATTACAAAATAATGTAAATGGAAAATTGTTATGCTTATTTCTGAAACATTTTGAATGCTTAATCACCTTTTGATTGAAAGATTGGAAAACCAAAGTACCCATTTTGTTGAATTTGTGATAAAAAAAAAGTTTGGGGAATGGCTTTAGTTAGAAATTTTCATATGAAAATTCTACAGCAAAAACCAAACTTGGTTAAATTTGATCATCATTTTTAAAATATTTTATTCTCTAATACATTAGGTCTATTACAAATACTGTTTTGTAAATGGCATTTGTCCTCGATCAAGATTTCGTGCATGAGAATGTGTGTCTGCTGCCAATTTGTATTTTTATTATTATCTTTGGTTTTGGTTTTCTCAGCTGTATATTATTCCTGTTCCTCCTTTTAGTTTTGTTTCTTCTTTTAATACCTTAAAAATATCATAGAGCAAATAGTTTCAGTACAATAGATTCATTATTATTTTTAAAACACCAAATACACAAGTGAAATAAAATTGCATGAATTATCTGGATAAAAAAAATTAATTTTATATTACTTAAAAAGTAATAGAGGGGTAAAAATCAAATAAATAATGGTTATATAGCTGCATCAACCTACATTTTGGGCTCATACATGTGATTGGGTTATCTCCTATTTAAAGTGCTATGTATACCTTAGACTGGATATATTTTAAAATGATTATTACTAATTTTAGAAAAAAACAGAATAATCAAAGAAGCAAAATGACAAAAAAACTGGTGCAGAAATACAATTATATATAAGTAGACAAAAGAATAACCAAGATGGTACAATTAATGCATAGTGTATCTATATTTGAAAATTAACCATGAAAAACATTAATTCACATTAAACATTAATACAAACTTTAACAATATAAGAATCTAAATTTCTGAGCTAAATGCCAACATTTGCAGTTTAAAAATACCAAAAGGGAAAAAAACTGCTTATGATTATGGATAAATATTACTTTCCAATTTTCCCTGTATTCTACCCTTACCAATGCATAATATTTATAATTGGAATACACTTAAAACTGGATGTATTTATTGGTTTCCCTGAAGGAGAGAGAAAAGACCTATTTGTAATACAAGGATAACTGAATATATTTTGAAATTCTGGGATATATAAAACTGAAAATGCTGATGTAAATAAATGATTTTCAGTATGGTACCATGCCATCAGGAAAGTCCTGCTTTTCAGTTTATAGAAGGCAGACAATGCTTGTTCTTTTTACAAGTTGCATTAAGTCTTTTTTAATTATAATGTGCAGAATAAGCCATGATAGGTTACATTCTACTAAGTTGTAAACCTTATCTACAGATCACAAATGGTTGGTCCACACATCATGGTAAGCCAAAACCAAACAAACTGCATTATGCTGAAGCATACCATATGAACTCAGATTTAAAAAGCATACTAAGCCATAATATGATTTGTTAGATATTAGTATAATTTGTGTTTCTAGCCATTATGATTATTCAATGTACTGCAATTGACAAATGTATTGGAGTGAATTGTGAGTCTAATGTTAATAGAGTGATATATCAATTTGGCCATTCCTGATTTATTCAAAGTTTGGTTAATTTTAGTCATAGAGTATGGAACCTTCCCCCAAATTAGGTCCTGCTGGTTTTCAATGGTGAGAGGGTGGACTCTTCCCCAAAATAATGGCATTGTACTATCAAAGATCTGCAAGATAGCCTGAAAGAAGTAACAAGGAATAACAATAAGTTGTTATGGAATCTCTTCCTACCCACTCAGTGTAGGAGAACTCAGTTGTGATTTCCTGGGAACTGGAAAAATAGATCTTGATAAGGAGGGGCTTAACCAGATGACATTGAAAACAGTGAAAAGGGGATTTTTGCCAGATGCCTCCACCTCACTAAAAATTCAAGCAGTGATCCATCTCCCTCTTGTCTAAATTGATACCTAGAGGCATTTTTCCTACATTTCACCTCTGTATAACTATTTATGATACCTGAATTTTTCCAACAGCTTTGATAGTTTCTTAGTCAATTTAGGAGAATGTATAGTTATAGCTCTAGACCTGGAATGTAAAATCTACTGTAGCGCATGGATAAAACACAGCTTTTTCTACCCTAACAGATACTTGTAAGAACTTGATCCTTAAGCTTCCAATTTACATAAGTCTTGGCTATTCATACAGAATACTGTTTTTGTGTGTGTAGTGTATATAACCTTTATACATGGCAAATGGTTTCCATGTATGCAAAATGATCACTGAAGTGGAAGAAGTGGCAGTAGAAATCTGTGTGATAATTAACCATTGTGCAATAGCCTTGCACTCAGAAATTCTACAGTCCTTTTTTCCATTTATGGTGCTTTGGAAGTCCATTAAGAAGCTGACAGTTTTGTTGAGGAAGGGTTGATGGATTTGAGGGTCCATCTGGCTATTACCTCTTGCTGCCTTTTGTTCATCTTCTTTATTACTGCACATTATTCTGTAACCTTCGTGTTGGGGAGTGGAAGCAGATATGTGCAGTCTTGTCTCTATTCTCAGCCCAATCCAAACCTTTCTGATATTCTGTACAAAGAGGAAACTCCTATTGAATGATGAAGACCAAGTAGAACCCCTCTTCTCTCTTTTATCTCTAAAGCTTCATACAATAAGGCACCTGTGTAAGATGTTTGCAGGTGCTGCACAAGATAATATTATTCTAACTAAAGCAAATAAAATGGAATGATTACCTTCCATGACTTGGAAATTCTACTTCTATTGATGCAGTCTAAAACTGCATTTATCTTTTATGCGCTCAGATCACACATTTGGCTCTTATTCAGTTTGCAATCAATGACTATTCCAAAATATTTTCCTCAAGCAGGACTACCAAGCCATATACCCATCATTCTATATCTGGGCTCTTGATTTTTCCCCTCTCAATTGAGCATTTATCTCAATTTCTTTCAGTCCAGTTCTCCAACCGATCATGCTTGAATCTGATAAGCATTCCTTCCAGCTCTACAATGAATAATTATGTAATATAAATATTGCAAAGTAAGAGACTCAATGTATTCTGGACCTCTCTCCAGTTTGAGGAGGATTCAGTGAAAAACTCTCTTTGAGTGTGATTTTTTTTTTGAATCAGCTGTATATCCACTTAATTGTCATGCCATCTAAATCACACTTTGCTTGCTAATAGGCATGTCATGGCATACTTTGTCAAATGCTTTGATGAACTCAAATTATATTATGTCTACAATGTTCTCACAATTTATTAAAGCAGATACCCAAGCAAAAATAAGATAACATTAATGGATAAGATTTGTTCTTGACAAATCTATGCTGCCCTCTGCTAATTACTGTACAGCCATGAATTAAAGAGACACAGATTGATCTCTTTCTGATCTACTTTAGAATCTTTCCAGATATCCATGCCTGTAGTTTGCTGGATTCTTTTTCCCCTTCCTTTTTAAATATCCATTTCTTCCTAAAATGGTAGTTCACCAGTTTTTGATGATTTCTCAGAGATAATACAGAAAGTTAGAGCCAAACTATCAGTTGTCTAGTACCTTAGGATATAGTTCATATGAATCTGCAGATTTAAACTCACTCAAAATAATTTTCTAGCTTCACTCCTTCTTCTTCACCCCACTTTTCAAAATTACTTGATGGAACATATTTTTATTGGAAAAGCTGAATAAAAGATAAGTCAATAAACTCTCCCTTTAGCTATCTATTAAACCATTTGCTGTCTTCACAGAATAATAATATTCAGATAGTCTTTTCTTTTTATTCCGTAACTAAATAAGGTGTTATTCTTCATTCATTTCAGCTTATTCTGATTTTTTGTTTTTCTGACCCCCATTCAGTCTACCTTTCTTTTCCTTTATAATTTAACCCTCTTTCCATTTCCTACGTATGCCCATTTCCCCCCAGATTTTAATTAAGCTTTTCATGCAACCACAGATTTCTTCAACTGTCTTTATTCTTCTATGATTGAAATTGGTTGCAATTACTGTGTGCTTTTAGTATAGTATATATTTTCTTTCTTTAGGAACTCTGACT